AAGTTTAAGGAAACAAAAAAGTCTTAGGATGTTTTCCAGTTGTACACTCGAGTGACGTTCCCCTCCCGCCCCCTCCTTTCTTTTAGCAAAAATTTTTGCACGAGATGCGTAATTAGTCGATTCTCAGGTTGACACGTTGATCATCTTTCTAATTGCAGGATGAATAAGATTAATGGAGTTCGCTCATAAAACCAACTATGATAGTATGGTTAAGTTTTGTTAGAAATTGTCGGTTCATCACATGGCTGCATACAGTGTCAACATCTCCATTGTAGATTAATATCTAGAAAAAACGTCGCGTAACCATATTCTGGAAGCTGTAAAACGTTTCTCTTATTCAATGCTTTTGCTTACCTTCACACCGGCTGCACTGACCTTCTCAATCTGTGCTAACATGTCAGCGTAGACTACGCCATAGCTATCTTCTACGGCATTGCTGGAAAAACTAGATAGTTTTCTCTGTTTCTCTTCATCTGTCACTAAAAGGAGTTAAACTAATTTACTGACCTACATTCGGTCCATCTTGGAAGCGACGTAGGAATATGCAAAGCCTTGCGAACATCAGCTCTATTCAGATAGTCTTCTGTGTTTCCGATTTGGTCACATAATGGTACCTATTCCCAAACTTTTTGTTTTTCCCGAAGACCACAAAAAGACTGACGAGGACATACATTACTACTGCTTTGCGAATTCTTTGGAGGAAACTCTGCTTTTCTCCTCATAAAGCGCTCGATATGAGCTTTTCTTCCACTTGAACTTGAGGTGTAACATGAGCTGTAAATGTTGTATGCGTCCACGTCATCAGCAGCACTCAATACCTGGAAGCGTCCAGGATTTCTTAAGTATGCTGTGCTCTCTGTCTAAATTATCGATATGAGAACTTTTAATTTTAATGTCAGGAAACATGTGCCTCTATTTGATCGCTACTTATATCTTTGTTGCAAAATCTTTTTGAGCCTTGATGACTATTTTGAGATATACCTAACTTTGTTTTCCATCCATAGACGGATTTTAAACCTTTTGTTACGGTAATGTTGAGATTCAAACTTATTTGCTCTACAGCTGGCGTAAAGCACACCGTATCGTTACAAAATCTCATAGTATCCAATGGTTATCACAGAGCGCGATTCAAACGACTGCGCCAGACACATTTTCAGCGTAATAGCTACTTCTGACCCAATGTTAAAAGTGCCTCACGCCAGCTTAACCAACATGCAACTTTATTTCAGAGTCCTCCCCAGGCGTCAGCGCGAGGTCCCCAGTTTTGCCTTAGGAAGACTAATACCTTTTTAAAAATGTTTGCGTGGAGCGGGTTTCCTTTCTTAAAGTAAACGGATTTAGAGGCCTAGAAAGAGGGGAAGGAAGTGCTTTCACTTGGTTATTGCGCCATAATTTGGGTTGAGAGGTGCATAAAAATGTTTTATACAAGTAAAGAAAATTATGAGGTAGAAAAAGCGTTTGCTAATTGGAGACCAGAGGTCTCTTGCAGGTCTCCCTCAGACCTTCAAAAAAGATACGACAATTTTCTCAGAGGCTTTAAAGATTCTGTATACAATCCTTGAACTCCTTTTTGCGCTCTCCCCATTGAGATGTTCATAGGCTCTTAGCTTAGAAATGGATTTGAGCGAAATGCTGAAAATCTATGTGAAATCTGGCAGTGCTCTCAAGACTTGGAGCAGACTTGTGGACGTGTTAGCTATATGATAGGTATCGGAGACAGTTGTAAAGAAAGCGCTAAGAAAGGCAAAAAAGGAAGAAGGAACTCCGATCCCTGGGGTTACCGGACCCCTACGACTTCTTTTACTTTTCTCCGGCAAAAAATTTCCAGCCGGAAACTGGAAATTGCTGGTCCTGCTATAGCGGAAAGAACTTAAAGATCTGATTTTTGAGGATACCATGTATATTTATTGTTTGTAAATACTCGTGAAATGAAATTATGCTTCGTCCCAGACGGTACGACGTTTGGCGACGCAGCACTATTATCATTGAAGGACCTAATAACAATTTTCTCATGATGACTTCTCTATCCAAAGATTATTATTAGACTCACCTCTTTTAGAAGTCTACAGGAAGTTCATCATATAAGAGCGATATGCCAACGATACATAAGGTTTTGAACAGGTGATAAGCAAAATATTTAAG